TTAACAAGCATTATGTCGATGATTTAGTTGCAAGCTTCGACACGCCTGAACAAGCCATCAGTATCTGCAGCGACATTGTCAGCATCAATTCACAAGCAGGGTTCGAGTTACGTAACTTCGTCTCCAACTGCGAAGAAGTAGAAGATCGTTTGAATCATTCGTCATTATCCGCGGGAGAAGTGGTTAGTCTGGAACGCAACGAGTCAGTGGACAAAGTGCTTGGCCTCTTCTGGAACACTAGCGATGACGTTTTCGAATTCCACACGAAGTTCCACCGTTTGCCGAAAGATGTCCTGCACGGAACGCGAGCTCCGACAAAGCGAGAGTTGTTACGAATCGTGATGTCGGTGTTCGATCCATTTGGTATGTTAGCAGCATTTTTAATTACTACTAAAATTCTCATTCAAGAAGCGTGGAAGTGCGAGATTGGATGGGACGAAGTTCTGCCTCAAGAACTAAGCAAGAGATGGTGGCCCTGGTGGCAAGAGTTTCCTAACGTGAAGCAGTTGAAGATACCCCGCTGTTATTCGCCGCGAATCTTATACGGTGGCAAAGTAGAAATCCACACTTTCGTCGATGCCAGTCAAGTCGCATTTGCTGCAGTAGGGTACGTGCGAGTAGTTCATGCTAGAGGAGTTGACGTTCGTTTTCATTTCATTTCATTTCATTTATTAAGTCTATGATTTACAAATCTTACAGACTAGATGTACAAGCTTACGACTTAAGTGTAAATTCGATATTTAAAGTATATAATTAGGAATACATTGATTCTAGTAATAAACCAAAACGAGATCTCGGGAAGGCGAAGTCCAGATCAAGGCTCTTGGAAATTCTATTAAATTCAATGAGAGCTCTGGAAATGGGGTCATAATTGTAATAATTAGCTTTATTAACTTTAATATTAAACGGGTAATGAGTGCGTAAATTTCTATATGGTACATTGAAATTTATTTGCAGAAGAAGCTCTGGACAGTCTACTATGCCATTAATAACATCGTATATGAAAAGCAGAGATTGAATAGATCGCCTAGACTCAAGTGATTTCAGATTTATAAGCGCACAGCGGGCCGTATAAGATGGTAGGGGATCACTAAAATGGAGTGGTTCAAGAGCGAAGCGAATAAAGCTTCGTTGCACTCTTTCAAGTCTAGAGGAATGAGTTGAGTAAATTGGACTCCAGATTAAAGAGGCGTATTCAAGCTTCGAACGAACCAGCGAGTTATAGAGAATTTTTCGGGTGTAGGGATCTTTGAAATCTCTACCATAGCGCCGCAAAAAAGCAAGATTAGAGTAGGCTTTAGGAACGATATAGCTAATGTGGTTAATGAAGGTAAATCCCGAATCAAACATCACTCCTAGGTCTAAAAATTCCTTAACTGAAGAAAGTCTTTTATCAAACAGATAATAAGCCGACTTATGCGTAATTATGCTCTTTGAAAGAGTCATATGGAGACATTTTTTAATATTAAGCGGTAAGTTATTTCTGATGCTCCAAGTAGTTAAGTTGTTAAGATCATTTTGTAATAGCAAAACATCTGACAAAGAAGTGACACTTCTGAAGATTTTTAGGTCATCAGCGTATAGCAAAAACTTGGAATGCTTAAAGCAGGCTCCAACGTCATTAATAAATAAAAGAAAAATTATTGGGCCTAGGATGCTACCTTGGGGTACCCCAGAAGTGGCCTCAAACGCGTATGATCTCGTATTCTCGATCTCAACAAAAGAAAATCTATTGGAAAGGTATGATCTAACCCAGCACAGAAATGTAGAGTGTATACCCAAACACTCAAGTTTGCGCAATAAAATGCTGTGAGTGACTGTATCGAAAGCCTTTGAGAAATCGGTGTAGACAACGTCTACTTGACGTCCCATCTTGAACGAAGTTATGCAAAAATTAGAAAAACAGGCTAGGTTTGTGGCAGTCGAGCGACCGCTCACAAAACCATTATTATGGGTAGAACACGCACAGCGCCAGCGAAACTGATGTCGATCCCGAGACTCGAGTTACAGGCGGCAGTATTGGGTACCCGCTTGTACAAGCTCATCGAGGACAGCCACGAGTTCAGCATAGAGCGAGCAGTTTTTTGGACCGACTCCCAGACGGTTCTGCAATGGGTTAGCTCGTCAGAAAGAAAGTATAAGGCGTTCGTCGGCCATCGAATAGCCGAGATTCTCTGCACTACGTCAAAAGAGCAGTGGCGATGGGTGTCAACTTGTCAAAATGCAGCAGACGTAGCAACACGCCCCTTGTGTCCACCAAAGTTCGACAGCAGCAGCCGTTGGGTAAAAGGCCCCGAGTTCTTACAGCATGACGAAGAGTATTGGCCCACGTCTACGATCACAGCGTCACCAGTACTCCCAGAAGAAATATCCGTTCCAGTTTTAGTGGTTCAGCACGGCAGTTCTGTCATCCATTTTTCAAGGTTTAGCTCCTTTACAAAGCTATTACGAACAACAGCCTGGGTGATGCGAGCAACAACACTATTTCGAAAACAAAGCAACAGTACAACACCCATGTCGCCGAGCCTCACAGCAACGGAGATAAAGAAAGCAGAGCATATGGTATGCGAACTAGTCCAACGAGAATGCTTTTCGAGCGAGATCGCAGGTTTGTCAGTCGCCGGTAAAATCGCCAAAAACAGTTCGCTGTATAAGCTTTCGCCATATCTCGACCAAAATGGCTTATTAAGATTGAGCGGCCGAATCGACGAGGCAACATACCTACCAATGCAAGCTCGACGACCGATATTGATGCCTGCCAAACATATCGTGTCAACCTTGATCGTACAACATTTTCACAAAATAAATCATCACCAGAATTTCGCAATCACAATTAATTCCATCCGACAACTGTTTTGGATACCGAATTTGAAATCGCTCCTCAAGGCAGTTCAGCGAAGGTGCCAGCAGTGTATGATCGACAAAGCAAAGCCAAACCAACCTATGATGGGTCAGCTGCCGGTCGACCGCATAACTCCGTTCATGCGCCCATTTACTTATACAGGCGTTGACTTGTTTGGCCCTTTTAATGTCACCATCGGAAGGCGCAAGGAGAAAAGGTGGGGCGTTATATTTACCTGCCTGACAGTTCGAGCTGCACACATCGAGCTAGCTGCTAACCTGAGTACCGATGCGTTCGTTTTATGCCTGCGGAATTTTGTAAACCGACGTGGAACGCCATCCAGAGTAAGGAGCGATAATGGAACGAATTTTATTGGCGCACAAAGGGAGTTGAGAGCAGCTGAGCAGTTGTTAGACACAGATCGCATTCAAGATGAGGCTAGCAGACACAACATCGAGTGGATATTTAACTGTCCGCTGAACCCCAGTTCGGGTGGCTGCTGGGAGCGTTTGATAAGGATTATAAAGTCGCTGTTAAACAAGACGTTGCGTGAGGTAGCTCCAAGACCCGACACTCTGCACAGCGTATTAATAGAAGCGGAGAATATCATCAACTCCCGACCGCTAACTGACCTGCCCATAAGCCATGAAGAAGATGAGCCGCTAACACCCAATCACTTCTTTCTTGGGATGCGTAAATTCAACGCAGACGCCGCACCCAGTTGACGAGAAGGTTTGCCTAAGGAAGCAGTGGAGAATCGCGCAGAACCTCAAGGATCGGTTATGGAAGCGATGGACAACCGAGTACCTGCCTCAGCTACTATGCCGCACCAAATGGCAGGACAAAGCAATACCGCTTCAAGCTAATGACCTGGTGATATTGTGCGACTCAACGCTGCCCCGCAGTCAGTGGTTACGCGGCCGCATAACTCAAGTTTTTCCAGCCAAAGACGGACAAGTACGTGTCGTGGAGGTACGAACGAAGGGCGGACTTCTACGCAGACCAGTTTCGCGTTTAGCAAACTGGTGGTTGGTGGTGAATCCTGTGAGGATTCACGGGGGGCGGGATGTTAGCAACCCTGGTAGTTGCTAAAAGTGGCAACGCCGCGAATAAGAACTGCAACCAACTTTGATATGTTTTTCTCGTCGGCCATTACATGAGAGAAGGACTCCAGACAGCGCGCGAACAGAACACAAGTGTAAAACGCTCCACGCTTCACGCTTAAGCTTCAACCTACAACGTTCAGCCCACGATTTCTTAACAACTTGCCGACTGCCGTTTAATCCTTCGTATTTTATATGTTTTAAATGTACAAGTTACGCGCATACGTGTTGTCAAGTCGAAACCTTAATAATACATTTTTATACAACGCAAATGTCTTTACTTTATTCGTTTTATATCCTTTGTCGGTAAGCAGAAGCAGTTCTTACACTTCAACAGGCGGCCTTCGACCGAACTTAAAGCAAACGAATCGGGCGGGACCCACACCGCCTACCTCATGGGCAATATTTTTGCACAGGGGTTCGTGACCGGAAACCCTCATTGATAATAATACACGCCCAGAATAAAAGTAGCGGTAAATTTTCATTTTCTTTTGTATTCCTTTTTAAACATTGCCTTCTTTGTATGTATTGTTTTGAACAATATGGCAACACATGTTATGTGTCAGTTTGCAACCATGTGTTATTGTAAATATGGGTGCAATTCAATGTAATTTACAAGTCGATAAAAGTTGAATTAAAGTGATTTATATACAAGATAAAATAAAATAAGAGTGTGTAAAGTATTAAGTACAGTGTTATGTGCATTTATATATATGAAAGTATGTGACAAATGCAGTTTTTGTTAAGGAAACCAAGTGGAACGACTTGAAAAATTTTAACAACAAATAACTTATAAACAATGATATTGTTTATATTTTTTAGTTATACATGTTTTAGAGGATACCTTCTTTAACATCCTGACCGAGTTTCATTTGTTAATTCCACCTGGTTTTCTTAAAACAAAAGGTGCGGCTGACTACTAAAGCCCACACAGTGTGTTTTTTAAAAAGTATTCGATACTAAGAGTACTTTGCAAATTATCGAGTAAAATTACCAAATAAGGTATCGAGTATTAAAGTACACATTTTTATACCCTCAGTATCGATACATACTCAATATCGATAGTATCGTTCGATCTCTAACTGTGACTGTGATCCCATTAGCTGATTGTGGATCATAATTATGGGATAACAAATGTGTAGTTGTGTAGATATTGTAAAATTTAAGTTGTCGAAAAATAGCTTTGCCAAATACCAATCTTAACAGTTCTAACCGAAATACACTTTACAAAATGATGCAATTATTCGGAAGGCTACCAAAAAATATTTTCCGATCGAATCTGCTTGGCGCATCGGCCCGCACATGTTTTTACAATAGGTTCAACTCTACCGAAGTCCAGCCAGTGTCAATATCAGAGGGTAAATTTTTAGAGAAGGCTAGGCTTTTGTATTTACGTATGTACATAAATTGTAGATTTCCGGAAAAAGCAAATACTTTTCAACATAAAATCGGAGAACGTAGAAGGTAGACCGCTATATCTTGACGCCCAGGCGACCACGCCACTGGTAAGAAGGATTAGGGTTGGCTTTCCTATATGTGCGCTTTTGTTTTAATGGGTGGGATTTAGTACCGCTCACAACTATTTCGGGCTATTCCGTCCAAATGGGTGGCCCGATCCAAAAAAAAATTTCACACACTTGTAGTCAAGGGTCGACGCAATATTTTAACACTCACTTTTGTAAATTTTGGTAACTAATTTATTTACAAATTGGGTTTGAAATATGCCCTTTTTTGTAAAATTCGGAAATTAGCGTACATTTATCACTCCTATTCTGCTTAAATTAGCCACTTTACCAATATATTTTTGTATTCCCCTTCACTTTACACTTTACTTGATTTGTTATAACTTGCTTTACGACTTTAATATTAACCAATTCATCACAATTCATTAAATAAAAAACACCTTCAAAATCACGCGTCTGACTTTGGTTGCATATGCAAATTAAATGGCGGAGTTCAGCTGTCAAACTCCAAAATATGCAAAAGAATGAGAGACAAAAGAAGATAGGATATAACCCTGTAAGCATTAAAAATATACAAAGGTGTTCTCTGCAAAAGGTGTTCAGCTCCTTTTCTTCGCAAAACAGAAATGAGAATTCTACTGCCTGAGGGTTATAATCCCTAAGTGCGGCCGAAGGCCGCCTACGCAGAAAGGTGTTCTCTGCAAAAGGTGTTCAGCCCCCCTTCTTTGGCAACACAGAAAGGAGAATTCTACTGCCTGAGGGTTATAATCCCTAAGTGCGGCCGAAGGCCGCTTACGTAGAAAGGAATTCTACGCAAAAATACATTTGTTAAAATGAACATTTTTTTTTTATAAAAACTGTTTTTTTTTTCTATTTTTAATTAACTTTTTATTCTTTATTCAAAATCCCCCCATATCTAATTTGGCATAATTTCTTTTATTAAAAAATCCCACGGTTTCTGTTAGTTGGGTCATATTCCACTTCAAACTGCTCAGTTTGCCTAAGAAAAATCCGTTTTTCCCCCTTTTTCAAACGGTTCCCTAGGTGCCTGTGGGAGGAGTCCAAGGGAGAGGTTCCCCTTTTTAGAAAGCGGCGACTGTCTCCTTTCTATTGGGGGGTGTTTTGGGGGCCCCGCCCCCCCCCCCCCCCCCCCCCCACCCAAAAAACGGTGTGAGTGGTACTAAACATTTCCCCAAAATATGTTGAAATACATACCATCAACCACCCCTCTTCTCCGGCACGGAAAACAGAATTCTGCTCAGTTAAGATTATAATCCCTAAGCGCGCCCACGCCCGATTACGCAATTAAAATTTTAACACCTAATAGCTTTTTAAATATAAGCCTATGAAGAGAGCAGTGAATTTATGAACGCCACCTCCACCCTTCAATCCATTTGCACAGTTTGGGCTATTTTTATTACCTCCCTTTTATTAGCTCGGGATATAACTATGTAATATTGATGCGCCTAAAAGATGCAGCGATTTCTATTCTCAAGTTACATACCTGATGACAGTACGAATGGAAATTTTAATAGCGAGGTTTTAGTTTTATAAACTATAATTTTATCTTGTTCTTTAATGTATTTATTTAATGTTTATAATTTTTTATAAAAGTCTAGCACATTACATAACCAGTACCAAATACATAGATCCACATTTCAAACCTCGTACAAAAATTATAAAAATATAACAAACTTTAACCATTGCACACAAAAAATTATAACTTTTTATTCATTTTTTATTGTGCACTTTCTTCCATATAAAGTATGTTCGACAATTTCTTTTATATAGAAGAAAATTCCTAGTACAGCCAGCAAAAAAAAAATTAAAAATCAACGTGATTTTCTAGCGTCTTGATATTTGCACTTTAATTTATTAAACTTTAAAAAGGTTAAAATATTTGTTTGCTAATGTTTGTTGAATTTTTATCTATATGGAGGTGGTTATGTAATGTGCTAAACATTCTGAAACCATCGTAGTCCGATTTTCGTAAAATGTACGAAAATACGATCACTGAATCTGAATTTCTACGAACATAAGGCACTCAAAGTGTATGCTTCGTTCGTAGCTATTCGGATTCAGTGATAACATCTTCGTAGATTTCACGAAAATTCGGACTATTACGGATTCAGTGATAGGCCTGATTAAATAAACAAAAGAAAAATAGCCAAAACTGGCCAAAATGTCACTTAACTTAATCAGCTGATCACAAGGGTAACCTTGCAGGTTATGATCCTGAAGCGCGGCCGGAGGCCGCCTACGCCGAAAGATTAAAGTCAGGGCCTTCATCTGCTCAAAACAAACGAAAACGTAAGTAAAAATTTCATGCCATGGGTAGTGGGAGGCGCTACACCCCCTTCGCCCGCCACCCCTTTTACCATCGCATATATAGGAAAGTTTCCCCAATGATAACTTAT